ATGTATTGATAAAAAGACTATGCATTCGAGAATATTTCCGTTTTGTTTATATTTCAATACCATTCTCTCTCTCTCTCTCTCTCTCTCTCTCTCTCTCTCTCTCTCTCTCTCTCTCTCTCTCTCTCTCTCTCTCTCTCTCTCTCTCTCTCTCTCTCTCTCTCTCATTATTATCATTATGACAATATTTTTAATCATCATAATGATCATCATCATTGCTATTACTGTTATTCTTACGTTTATTTCATCATCATCATCATTAATATCATTATTATCACCATCATATTTTTTTCATTATCATTGTTATAATGATTATCAGCTATCATAAATATCATCATCATTAACATCACCATCATCATCATCATCATGACATCATATGTTTATATGTGTACGTGTGTATGTGTTTGTGAATGAGCCTATTGACATTTGCATGGATTAAGCAAATGATGCTTATTATTATGCAAAAAGGGGGGGGGGGTTGAGCGGAAGACTGAGATTGACGAGAAGCCTAAGCTCTAACCGAATTTTGAATAATTGTAACTGCCATCAACTTGTATCCGTTATTTTTGGTGACCGTTATTTCCGTTATTTCTGTTGCTCGTGGAGATGCCTTCACACAGATTTTTTTTTATGTAAATCATATCATTGTTCAGTTGTTATGATAATGATCTTATATATATATGTACACACACACACACACACACACACACACACACACACACACACACACACACACACACACATATAATATATATATATATATATATATATATATATATATATATATATATATATATATATATATATACATATATATAGGTGTGTGTGTGATTAAGTGGCATTGAAAGCAGCTAATTTCTTTCTTTTTTTTCTTTTTTTTAGGTACAAAACTCCTGTAAACATCTTAAATCTTAAATGCTCCAGAGTTCGCGATAACTTTCCTTTTTTCTAGAGATTAAACTCACTCCAGTCTAGAGGCTGGAGTGTATCTGTAATGTAAACAGTATTGAGGGTTAGGCGGCCAGTATAGCTCAGGACCAGGGCTATAAAGGTCGGGACGTGAAAAACGGCTTTATTTACTCATTTGTTTTCAATCTATTTGTTTGTTTGTTTCATTTTTATTTATTTAATATTGTTATGATAGTTGTATCTTTATTTGAGAAATAAGAACGTTATCTATATCTTAGAAGGGTTAGAGAGGAGGGGGGGAGGTGGCTGTATCTTCTTTTATCTCGGTTTGGATAATATCTTTTTCCTGTTTTTCTTTTTTTTCTCTCTCTCTCTGTGTATATCAGATATCTTGGTCTCTTCCTTTCTGTTATCTTGGAGAAGTGATAAGTTCCTTTTTTCTTTTTTCTTTTTTCGTTTTTTTTTCTTTGTCTTTTTTTCATTTCTTTTTTTTCATATTCTTCGGTTGCTTCCCCCTATACATATTTTCTCTTTTCTTTTTCTGATTTTTTTTTTTTTTTTATGCGGTCTATTGTTTCTTTTTGTTTTTGCTTTTTCATCTTTGTGGGTTTGTGTGTGTGTGTGTCTGTCTGTCTGTCTGTGTACGTGTTTCACCCGGTCTAAAAAAAAGGTAAAGAAACTGAAAACCAAGGCAACACTTTACTTTGAATGTTAGTTCATAAAGACATAAACACGATTCGAAACAACACTTGCACCATAAGAGAATAAGCAAAACGGAAAAAATTTATTTGTTTTCAAACACACGGATGAGCCTAATAACCTTTGTGATCATATAGAAAAGATCAATATGAATATATAATACAAACATTTATTTACATCGGAATAAGCACGCATGCACGCACGCACGCACACACACACACACACACACACACACACACACACACACACACACACACACACACACACACACACACACACACACACACACACACACACACACTCACTCACTCACTCACTCACACATAAACACACACACAAACACACACTCACACACATGTATGTATATGTATGTATATATATATAATTATATATATATATATATATATATATATATATATATATATATATATATATGCATATATCTATACATACATATTTATATTCATATATATATATATATATATATATATATATATATATATATACATACATATATATAGATAGATAGATAGGTATAGATATAGATACATATATATATATATATATATACATACGTATACACATATATATGCATGTCTATATATACATATTTAAATTCATATATATATATACATATATATATACATATATACATATATATTCATTATTCATATATATACCTATATATATACATATATATAAATACTTTTATATTCATATATATGTATATGCGTGTATGTGGTATTCATATGCACATCAATGCATCCAGAGACAAAGCCACAATAAGCAACTGCACCGTAGTGTTGCCGACGCAGCGAGCGACCAAAGGGCCGAGCGAGGGCGGCCCGACTCCGCTCCTGAAGAAGGCTTGCGACCCGGAGGAGGCCACTCCCGCCTACGGAAGGGCGTCGTAAATGCTATTCACGCTCTCGTACGAAGTGGCCGCCTCTGCCGCGCCCACCGGAACTTCCTCATACACATGTTCACCCTCTGTCGACTGAGGGGCATGGCGGTGCCCCCTCATGCCTCGCTCCCTCCTCACGGCTTCTTCAGGGAATTCGAGAGGGCAGGGCGGCACGGGTGGGGGCAGGTCCTGGGCCCCGAGAGAGACCAAGGGCAGGTCGTCCTCCTGGCGGCGGGCTGTCTCTCCTGCGCTCCGCCTGCCGCGCCTCACGGAGGTCCAAATGTTGCGCAGGACCGACAGGAAACAGATCGGCAGAAGCAGCAGCAAACTGATTCGCCAAGCATCATTTGACGCACGGGACCTTCGTTGTGTTTCTGAGGGCAGTGTCACCTCTGCAGGCAATAGAAAAAATGAATGGTTATCAGCGAAATATCCACACGATCATTTTATCTTGTGTGTCCATTCTTAAAATTGAAAAGAAATTTCAATCCTCAGTGAAACACATTTAGCGATAAGAAATAAAAATGGAAAGGAATGCATTAAAGATGATTTCGCAAAACTCCAACTTAAGTGTGATTGTTTCATTTTTATTATTATTATTATTAATTGCCTCCTTTATTGATAGCCGGTATTCCTGAGAAGCTCAACAGCAAGACCGTCCTTATTTTAGCATAACTGACAAGAATATTTGTTAAATCTGTATACAAAAAACTGCGGGAATGAAGTCATGTATCTTGTAGTATATTGATGGAAATAAACTGCTCTGTCTATATAAAGACATACGACAGATAAATTTATCCATGCATCTCAATGCTGTTAATAGTTAAATATATCGCATATTATCACACATTCTTTTCAGGATCGAAGGGGTAGTTCATGACATCAAAGTATCTCTCGTGTCATTTTCTCACCTGCAGAGACTGCATCCTTACGATGGTCAGCGAAGAAAGATGTAGGTTTGGTGTTGTTTGAACAATTAAAGGCAAGCATGGCCCTCCCTTCTACTTTTATTTGTAGCTCTTTCAGTGAACAATTTGAGCAGTTTCGTAGGATTCGAGTCACATTGATAGCCGGGATGGACACACTTGGAAAGCTCCTGTCATTTGTCTGAGGAAAAAATACAATGATGTAAGTTTAGTTCTGATATATCGAATGATACTTTGGGAATATTCTGTAAATCACTTTCTAAGACGGACTTTTCTGGTTACCTTTGTGGTTGAGAATTCTATCTTGTTCCATTCCTCAGGAAGAAGCCGAGTCTCATTCTTCAAATTGACTGTCTCGACTACTTCCTCATCTCCAGTGGCATTTAAAAACAGTGCGAAGGATAGAGAAGACAGAGAGGAACCAGGCCACAGGTAGAAGGGTTTTCTTGTTTCATCTTTTAGTTCCACAGTATTATTGTTCATTTCCGTGATGACACATCCTGGGCGGAGAAAGGCAACGAAATGCATGAGGCAGCACTTACTCCTTTAGACTTTGAAATTGGTCCATCATGCAGCATCATGCATCATGGCAGCGTGTGTGTTTTATCTGTGCACGTGTGTGTCTTGGGCCGCTTGGTGCCCGACAAGACAAGGAAGAACGAAGACGCTACTCTACCTCGGGGTCCGTTGGCATCGGCCGCCGACAGGAAGACGCCCAAGCACAGAGCAAGCAGACGCAGCAGCCTCATGGTCCGCTTGAAGGGCCGCGCGATCTGTGGGGAGGGAAGGCATCCGCTTCGGTGTCTGTGTGGATTATCGTGTTTTATTCCGCTTCCTTTCGCTCGAGGTGAAGCAAATCGGATGACGATTCAGTGTAAGTGATGATGTGATAATAAAAAAAAAATGATATAGCTGTTAGTGGCATTTCAGAGCTCGCCGCCATGAAAGGAAGGGAAATCAAGAGGTAAACTAGGAGCACTCAGACAGCGCATACCTCCGCCAAGGCAATAAGGTCACTGACGCAACTAAAACATTCACACTTAGAGAATTAGATTAAAATCACCTTTCTCAAGCACATAGCAGACGTCCGTAAATATAATCTCTTTGACGGAGGCAAGCCAGTAGGGCTGATGATGCAATCGTCCAAAAAAAAACCTGGATCCGGATCACGACCAAAATTTAATGGAATCCAAGTCATTGATAGAATCCAAGCTAGGCTAAGGCACACCTCTGGTAAAGAAAATTCAGAAAAACTACTCATAACTTAGGACTTATCCTGCTCGCCAACATACACACGCGACCAGTAAAAGTAAAAGTTCCCTCAATCATTAAAAAAGGTGGAAAAAATCCCGATAGCTCACATGCGTTGAGGATATTTGACACACGAAATAATATCTTCCTAAAAATAAGAACCGCCACACACAGACACTCCTTACGACAGCTTTTTGGGTCGAACACTAAGACGGAAGCGCAGCGGCATCTCGTTCCTTCCTGTCTCTAGAAGCTTCCAATTCCTCCTTTTACAAGAGTGCTTTTGCAGTGACTTGCCAATCATTTGACTTTCA